TTCGGTTTTAGCTTTCCCGGAGAATATCTTCCGGAGAGCATAAACGGCGTAGTAGTAGTAACAGAGTAAGGAAGGCACGGCGTCCTCGAATTCGACGCCGCCAATATGCGACCCGTACAAAGCATATCTCTCTCTCTCTCTCTCTCCCAAGCTGATTGATTGCCGCCCCTCTCTTCCGCCTGCCTCCTCCTCCTTGTTTGAGAAACACACGCTACACCCACGCAGTAGAACAACAGAGGGGAAAAACAAATGGTGGGGGTTTAGACACTAGATAGAGACAAGACAGAGTGCGATTATAATTTGTGAGAAGTGGAAGTGGAGGTGAAGGGAAAACTTTTAGTGGCAAAATTTATGTGGGATTGCAACGTGGCATCAGGGCATTGGGTAGCTGTTCGAGTTCTAATTATTACTATGCAACATACGAGTAGTAGATGTTTCACATTTTATTTGTTTTATGTCTGAGACATATTGGGGAAATTAAAAAAAGAAAAATGTTTTTGCTCTAAAAATAGGAAAATGGTGCAATCGATTATTGAGTGGAGGTAGGGTTCCAACTTCCAAGGTGGCGTGGCTCCTTCCAATTGTCCAAAATGCAGTTACTGTGATTGCTTGCTTCAACTCTATCCGACGGCATAATTCTTTGTCGTGTGAAAAACACGACGATGGACGATCCGCTGCTCTTTCGTCCCTGTACAATGTACATGCTATGTTGTACGAACTCCTCCCTTCATTGCATCTCTCTCTCTCTCTCTCTTTTCTTTTGATTTTCTTCATCACACCTTCATTTCTTGCTCACCAGGAGTTTGTCTACAAATCACTAAACTTTGGTTCAGTGGTCACAAAAAATGATTAAATCCTTCTTCGAGTTGTAGGTCAGTGGTTAGAACTTCACCTACAGTAAAAAAAAAAAAGAAAAATTCAAATGAAGCGCCAGAATATCCCTTTAGTTTAATCAGGTTCTTATACCTACTAGTTCCTTATACACAGTTTCTTTAAATTCTCCTTTATGTAGATTAAAATAGATTAAATAATAAAAATATTATCATTAACGTAAATAACAAAAAATGGAATTGAGTATCTATGGACTTCTAAGCTTGTTTGACTATGGTCCTAATCTTGGACGTCTTATGAAACTTCTACTAGGCCCATTGGTGGGTTGAGGTCCACCCCATTTTTGGTTTGATATTGGAGAGGAGATTATTCGAAATAACATCATTTGCAAAATTATCTTTTATGATTCGATGTATGTGAGATATAAAAAAATTTAAAAAAAGTTGATTGAATTGTAAATAATTTTTATCCAAACACACTCTTTAATTTCTTTAATAGAGTTTTGGAATTTATATTTACTTTAATGGATTCTTTTTTCCTAACATCATGTGCTCTCTTTTAAACACAATAACTATATAAGATGTAAGCTATGCTCAGAGTAAAAGTGTATTGGGATGTAATTCTTCTTTTTAAAATAATTGAATTATGGTACATCATAAAGAAACAGAAGTGATTAACAGATGGGGCAGTTTAATTTGCCCGAATAACGGAATTATTAACAACTCAAAGGGCCTATTAGACGTTTGCCAAAATTACGTGGGAGTCAATTGAAATTAACCCAAACTGCAAACATTAGGAAATCCACAATTGTCAATAAGTTGAAGGGGGAATGTGGAAATAAGCTCCCCTGATTGTAGCAAAACCCTAGCCAAATCTTCCTATAAATATGCAGCCAGAGCGTAGCACACACACTGATCCTACGCTGCTGCGACTATCTTTGGTTTCCTTCCACTAGCTTAAAACTGCCGATTAGGGCTTTCAGTTTCATCATCCCTGCCTCCAAGTTACTGTTTTTGTGAACTAGAGCTTTCGGTTTCATCACCGCTGCCTCCAAATTACAGTTTTTCTCTGGTTATATTGGTGTTTTGGTTTTGATTTCAGTTTTTTTTCTATCTACTACGAGTTTTCGATTCACTGATATCAGCAATATAAGAGTAATTTTTCGATTGCATGATGTCAACAGTACAAAGATTAGATCGCTGTGACGACTCACAAATTTTCAAGCTCAACAGACCGGAAAGCGGGTTTCTTTATATTTCTATGGAGATTCTCGCGTGTCGATAACCCCGCTGAACCGAGCGATCTCTACGCTTTTTTTTTTAACAACTCTAGTGATGACTTTTTTATGTTGTATTCTTTTCTGAATTTAGTTTGGGAAATGAAAGGATGCGATGAGGATAGCAAAGCTCCCTCTTCTGATTAAAAGTTGAGGACACTGCTGGCAGAATCGAACCAATCACTAAACATTGCCATCACTGAGTAATCCTTTTTCTCCCCAAATTTTTATTCTTTTAAAAAAAAATTTCCGGAAGAGTCCTTGTAAAAAGTATTTCCTCCTATTTATTTTGCGTACTTCATATTGTGATGTTAATATTTTGATGAGATGAGGATGAAGCAGTAATTTAACATTCCAACACTTGGACTGAGAAATCAGTATTTCGAGTGATGTACTCAACTTTATGCTTCTGAATCACATTTATAGATCGAGTTCATTTTGTATCTTTTGTTTTTGTTTTTGCTTTTTTTTTTCAAAAAAAATCATTTCAATCTGCTGCTTAGGAATACATTTTTTCTCTTAAGCTTTCTTGATTTGCCAAAAATCTTTTACATTTGATATCCTTTTCATTGTTTGTGATGATCCTTGCTATTGCTAGTGTCGGCAGGTTTTGCTCTTTTACATTTTGTATGTTCAGTATATTGTGGGAAGATCATCAAAGGACGATATACAAGTAAATCTTAGGACACCATTGGACACAACCCTTTGTTGGTTGTGGATGAGAAAACCATTTTTCTGATGATGATCGGAATAATTCAAGTTTGAGATTATATTTGGGAATGTTTTCTGGCCTAGTGACCTTCATGGCAGGATTGTAGCCTTTAAAATACTATCAATTTATTATCATCTTCATTTTTTGCTCCAAAAGTTTCGAACAAGTGATTGTGAGAATTTTGACTTGCGAAAAGGCAGGAGGTCAAAGATAGGCGAAAGTGATAACCAAGAAATTGTTGGCGTATTCTTGACCTCGCAGTACTGGGCTCAGCGGTAACTTGCAGACAATGATATGAATTGTGGACTGCAAATTGCAGTCTCAGTTTAGTTGTCCGCGAATTTTTATTTTTATTGTTATTTTTTTTACACTTTTAGTTACTTTCTACTTTGCATGCATTACACTCTAAAAAAGTGTTGCCTCCTCCGTCCCACTTTATAGTTCTATTTCTTTTTTCACATCGTTTAAAAAAAAAGTAATTAATTTTGTTAGAAAAGTAAATTTAAATTGATATTTTTCTAAAATATCTTTATATTAAATAGAATACAATTTTATGGGAACTTGAATTAATGGTAAAAAAAGAATCAATTCTTATTAAATGGGATAGATTTATAGTAACAACAACTTACATTAAATAAAAATATTTTGGGAAAATTAAAATATAATTATATTTTTTAATTAAAAAGTGGATTATAATTTGAGACAGACGAAAAAGAAAAATAGGATTATCAAAGTGAGACGGAGGGAGTGCAATAATTCTTCAAGAATTCTCGGAAGATTGCTAAACAAGTGATGTTAATTGTCTTGTCTTAACGATAAATCTTATACCCTGTATGGTGAAATTTCTGAACCATACGTTGTTTCCATAAAGAGGACCAATGCCTTTTAAGGAAATTCGTGATGGCAGCGAATTGATGATCCTTCTACGTACGACAAACGCAATTCTGTCGGCCTTCCGCTACTGCTTGTCCCTCCCTCCCTCCCTCTCTCCTCCGGGTTCTTTTTGCTCCAAGCATACTTTCTGCCCCTGGTGGAGGGTGGAAACTGGAAAATGAGCCACAATTCTTCTGAGGCTGCCTGCACTTAAGAACTCAATTCTTTTAAGCGTTTCACATCATGTTCAGACTTCAGAAATGGTAGCGCCTTATCCTAGTTGGAAAAGTTTTTAGAAAGAACTTTTCCAAATAAAATCTTATGTTCAAACACAATATGTGATTGTTTAGATTTCAGAAACAGAAGCAGGCTTTTATCTTAATTGGAAAAAAATAGGTACATCTAAACTGTTAAAATGATCCTGTAATGCAAAAAACTCTTGGAATGGGATCCAGGAAATGGATGAAAACGAACGCAAACACATCAATATAGTGGGATTATTTTGGGTTTGCGTGTCAGCATTCAGCATGTACAAATGTGCTGTTATCTCTCTGTGCCAATCAAGGTTCTGTCAAAATCCAAACAGCTACCAATCCATTTTCAATATAAAACTTCTTAATTCACCCGACTTTTCTCATAGTGCGATAGAAAGTGATGTGCATAATATTAGTTCTGCTGTTCCTCGTGTTTTTCTTGCGGTGCCACGTGTACACGGTGTTGTAGAGTTGGACGGTTAAAAGTTGCTAGCCCCATCGGCCCATTACAGTTCGAAAGTTTCCTCGCATGTTTTCCTCCTCGATTTATTTATTGGGGCACCTCATACCCCGATGTGAAAAATTAATGTGCCTCTGCGAACAGTAAATGACCAAGATGCCCCTCTAAGGTGCGCCCATCTATTCTTCTTCGGGTTCTGAATGAGCGACGGGGTGCTGTAGCCTGCGCTGAGGGTAGACTGACCGCTAAATGGAGATGAGGACAAACAAATTTGCATTCTTACGGTTTGGTTTTACGCTAAGACGAGGCTGCTCCCATGCAAAAGAGACTGGATGAAATTTTATTCTTTTGAAGAGGTACTAGACGCAGAAGAAGAATTCACACAGTTACTTTACTGTTGGCCTGCAATGTAATTTGAAAATAGAGATATGATTATACGGTGAAATTTCTGTTTTAAAATGTAAAAAATGCATGACTCTTCATTATAGTTAAGTTGGCGGACTCGGATGGAACAAAAAAAGTGAGGTGCAGAGAATTCAAACTTTCTGGCAGAAGAGTGTCGCACGTCGACAAGTGGCCCAGGGGCTCTAGCATCTCACGATCACGGGAGCGATTGAAGGTTCATGTCAACTGTCTACACCAAAAATCCCAACACAAATACCCCACTGGCTGGCTCTAGCATTCACGGGAGCGTTAGAAGGTTGATGTCAGTTGCCAACACCAAAAATCCAACACAGATACCCCACTCTAGTCCTCCTAATGCACTATAAAAGGCCGCAATCAACTGCATGCCACCCAAAATTAGATAAAAAGGTCAGCTATCTTTCCACACTTTGTAGCAAGAAAACCCGATTTTACTTGTCACAGACCAAAAAAATGAAATCGATCGTTTTCCAATTTGCTCTGGTTCTTCTCTTCTCCATCTCATGCCACTCTTGGGCGTTCAGTACAGGTGGTAAAGCAGGAGACGAGAAGCCAGACCCTGCCGAAGCCGTCGCTAGTAGTCCTAGCAGCAGTGGCGGTCCAAGCTCAACGGAGAGTCCATCAGGAGCAACAGGCTCGGGTCATGGCTCAAACTGGGACTACAACTGGGGATGGGGCTCCAGCCCTGGAGCTGGATGGGGTTATGGCTCGGGTTCAGGGCGTTCGCCCAATGGGTTTGGCAGGGGTTCTGGCTTTGGTTGGGGTTCAGGCAGCGGTTCAGGATCTGGATACGGCTATGGTTTCGGTGGAGGCGGTGCCGCTGGAGGTGGAGGTGGTTATGGCTCTGGAAGTGGTGCCGGTGGCCATGCAACAGGTAGCGACAGCTCAGGGGCTTCTGAGGTTCGATCGCCATCTACTTCTAGGCAAAAAAACACCCATGCGTAAAGAAATCGTTCTGGGGTCTGCGTCTACATATTTCTCCAGGACCATAATGGTTCAATTGCGTGTGTATGTAATGCATCTACGGTGTGTAGGAACTGTATTCACGTGCAACGGTCTGTCTGCATCCTTTGTTCTCTAAGTGACGGTCTTAATACTGTGAACTATCGGTGTTAAAGATTATCTACATATTTGTGTGAATTCTTCCCTCTCTGTCCCTTTTGGCCGCGTTTACTACTGCTGTAACTTGTACTCCGACTGATTAACTTGGTTTGTTCCATTCTTCTTTATCTCTTATATATATATATTTACGCACAAATATATCAAGCATGCCGCCAATGAAATCAAATCTATTATGGGTAAAAGGTGCAGCTGATTGAAGTGAGTGTATGTACATTGAGAAAACAAAATTATAAATCCCCGAGAGCCAATAAGATAGCACAGAAACTGCAGAGTATCAGACATGATTAATTCACAACCTAGAACCAAAATGACGAGAGTCTTTCCAGTAGAAAAGAAAACAGTAGAGATTCGAGAATTTTCGTCTCTGGTGCCTTGGAAATTCGATTTCTGGTCGTCCGGTGGTGGGCAGATCCAAAATACTTTGTTTCCCGAATTATTGATCAAACGGTTAACTGTTGTTGTCGGTGAGCAGAACTGACGCAACGGTGGAGATTTGGCGGCGTCGAATTGTCGGGCGTTGAAGGTTGTAGTCGGGATGGAGGAGGACAGGGAAGCCAACTCTGTCTTTGGATAAAAGAGGCGTAGGTGTAGAATGTGGTGGGTGTCACGTTTAACTGGAAGCCCAGCCCAAACAAGAAGTCAATCTCCAGGAGGTTCATTTCCATTGCGCTAATTCCTCCCACTTTTGCATAGAAAGCATTGTTGTAAAATCTGCAACCAAAAAAAAGAAAAAGAGTTTCAAGACAACAAGAATACGGTGAGTTAATTAGCAGCAGTAGCCCGAGCTGTAAAGTGTTACTTAGAGCAAATTTTTGAATTGTTAATTTAAAGTCCACAGCAATGTTCCAACCGGACTTTTTGTTAAGTGCGGGGATGCGAAGGGTGTGGAGAGGGGCTAAAGATTAAAAAGAAAAAATTAGTGTAGTGGGGTCAATCTACGAATGCCACGTGTCAGCTCGGATGCGGTGATATGACAGCTCGGGCATAGCTGCTCGGACACAAATAATATCCGTTCGGCTGTTTCCATCGCCCTACAAGCCATGTAGGCTTAATGGACCGCGCCTCCCAAACCTTTCGGGATCCACAAGTGAAATCTTAGTGAGACTTCCCCTTGATTAGGACTCGAAGTCTCGTAAGAAAACCCTAGCCTCCAAGCCTATAAATGCAACGCCATAAGGCGATACAAGATACGTCATCTACAGTACTTTTATACTGTTACTTGACCTACAAGCTCAACTGACTTGACCGTCGGAGCTACCCTGGGGAGTTAGCTCCCTCCGTTTATTTCTCTCCCTGCAAGACCGATCGTTCGTTCTCTCCTCGTCAGCTCAGCCCATCAGCTCGGCCATTCTCTATTCGTTCCGCCCGTGGCAGTTCAGCTCGGATCGCATTTTTGCCAGTCGCATCAATTAGCATAAAGGACAGCGACATTGGAGGGGTTCCCGAGTCTCACCTGATGAGCTGGCTATATTAACGTCCAGTCCCAAAATAAAGGATGGTAATGAATTGTTACTAGAGACAAATTTGAAAAAATACGGGATGGTGGTGGTCCAAGCGTTGAAGCTTTTTAATTAATTGTGAATGAATTTATAGAAATCACCGGAAATGTTTGGAATTGAGGAGCACATCCAAATCTGAGGTGGCTCCCGTTTGCCTACGGTGGAAATCGGTGCTTTGTCATCAGCATTTTCTTTCGCAATATTATGGGTAATCGAGACAAATTTGGCCGCAATTCGCCAGCGGGACGCAGCGTCCGTTACTCCATTACCCATTATTTAGTCTGAGCATCCTACTAGTTAAGTTCGCTAAACAATAATGATCACAGGTCCAAGTAAAATTACATCGGTTCAAAGTCTCATACTTAATCATCATTATATCTAAGCAAGCATGCATTCATTATTTCGTCTACAGTATCATTTTTCCTCTTTCGGACACAAACAAAAAGCAATTTTGGTAAATACAAAAAAGCAAAAGACTTAAATAAGGAGTGAGTGCGAAGAAATTCTGAAACCTTTTTTTTTAAAAAAAAAATTTGCATTATAAAAGCAAAAAGTGTCAAACACGCTCGTGATTATTAGGCAACCACGAATTCACAAGGAATCATTCATCAACGAGGGAGGAAGGCTGGGTGGTAAATTGCTGCTAGTGAACCAAAATTAACCCGACAGGGAAGAAAATATCAAGATCGATTGAATATTTGAATGTCGGGAAGAGAATTTTGAGCATGTAAAAGAGGAATTAATGAAGAAGAGGGAGCTTACGTGTCATCCATGAACTTGGCGGAGACCAATACGCTGGTAATAAGCAAGCGATGCACGCTCAAGGAGGTGATGGGAAGGAGCGGCTGCTTCTGCGAAAAGCGATCGAGATAAATGTAAGCTACGATCAAGCACGAAGGGCTGCAATTGGCATACTTGAAGATCCTCTCCAGGTAGCTTTCAATTGAAATGGTTGGTCTAGTTAGGCCGTGAAACGCTGAAATTCTCTGAGGACCAAATCTTGCATTCACATCATTTGCCTCCGCCACTCTCTCAAGAACGCCGGAGACCAGACCTATGACTTTAGGCATCACCCCTGGATTCTCAAGTTCCGCCATTGATGTTGCAGGCTTCCACTACCTAGCTAGTAAAGAGGCTTAAATCTTAGCGACCGGTTGGCCGCTTAAAACTAACTCTTTTCCCTTTTCTTTTTGCTGATTGTAAAACTTATTTGGTAATGCTGGTGGTATATATATATATATATACATGTATGTATGTATATGCTGGATCTACCTTCTATCTTCTGTCATCTATAAATGTGGGGGAATTTGGCATATACCTCCACGCGGAGGTTGGGGTGTGCATGAGCTGGTTCATTGACCAGTCGGGTTACACTCTTTTAACTCTTTTCTATCTGGATTCTGGATTTTGTTTCATGAAGAAAAAAAAAACTTGTAAAACTTGATTTTGAACTCCTTATAAAAAGAAAAATGATATTTAACTGCGCTTATAAGATTTGCACAAGTTATTGCGGATTTGGGGGGGGGGAGGGGTTAAGGTTTTAGAAAATTAATTTGTACGTAAATTACTGGCTTAGTTTTAGAAAAATGTCGTCCGCCGCATAATTAAATTTGCTAGCACACCTTAGGTCGTGATAGCATGATGACAAAATTTGGTTGTCCATAATCATACTCCAATCAGTGTATGGTTAAATCTTGAATCAGGACTTCTCTTCTTAAAGAAGAAAAGAGGTCAGTCAATCGTCTAGAACAAATTTAAGCAATGATATTTTGCGTGGAAATGACCATCACAATGATGATATTTATGTCCTACTTTTGTTCTGTTCGTGTTCGTGTGGTGCACTTCTTGAGTGTTTTTCAATGATATTTTGGATCTCCTGTTTTTGGAATGTTTTTTAAAAGTTAATTTTTTAAATATAATAAATTTTTTTAAAAAGTATTGTAAAAAGTAATCTAAAAATTAATTTAAATTTTTTTAAATTTTAAAAAATATCTCAAAATATATTTTAGAAACTCTTTTACTCATAAATATTTCAAAATATTTTCTAAAAATATTCTAAAACATACAGCAAAATTTTTCAAAAACACCCTAAAAAATACTCCCTCCGTCCCGTTTACTTAGTCTTGATTTTTTTTTTCACACAGATTAAGAAAGTGTAATTAATTTGGTTGGAAACATAAATTTAGATTAATAATTTCCTAAAATACCCTTATGCTAATAACGAAGAGTGCATTGGAAAAGCTCAATGTATTCAATGTAATGGGTTAGTATTTAATAACAATGTATTAATAACAAGATATTTAATAAGGGTATTGTAGACAATTTGAAAGATCATTACATTTCTTAATGGGAAAGTGGACTACAATTTGGGACAGACCAAAAAGGAAAACAAGACTATCAAAGTGGGACGGAGGGAGTAGTTAATCCAAACGGAGCTATTAATGTGCAGGAAACACTGCTGATTCCACCAGCAAATTTTAGCCATTTTCAACCAAGATTTGAAGTTGTTTAAATCGAAAACAAACTTCCCAAACTCTAAGAGTCACCATACCCTCCCCGATGTTGCAATTAGGATGACAATTAATGCACTATTCTATGGTGCATAGGAAAACTATAAGCATAGGGATCATGACATGCACAGCATGAGATGTCAAATTAATTACTCAAAGGTAAGTCGCATCGTAGGAGCAAGACGATGATGACGACGAAAATCGTCTCTGTTTGTTGATGTGTGTGTACACACATATATATATACACACACGTATTTGGTAAAAATATGGACGCTTAGCTCGTGCGCTCACCGTTTTCGCCACTGGATTTGCTTCAACCGCATGCCTACTTCTAGTAGTAATATCTTCTGGGAGTTAGCTGGGCAGCCCATAGTTTTGAAGATCATTTGCAATCCGGTGATAGCTAGCTGCTGGTGTCGACTGTCAACCACATAAAAGCATATTTGAGAAATTATTTCCTAGAGTTGGATCTAGGGTTGTCAATTGGCCGGGTTTGGATTGGAATTGAAAATTTTGAACTCAAACCCGTATATCTGATGGGTTTGAGGTCAGGTCCAGATCTATACGGAAAGAAAAGGTTCAAAGTTAAACATTACAAAATTAAATCTAATCTCCAAATTTAAACAAATCAAATTATAAATAACTTGCAATAGTCAATTCAAAACTAACCACAAATCATCTATAAAATCATTACTAAATTGTTAATGTGGTAAAATAATTCATTTAGAAATATCTATATTTTATAATTATTAATATATTGTTCGGACCTAGATCGAATGCGAGTCGGAATCCTATTTTTTGTATCCAATCCTTTTTATTAGAGTAAACGAGTTTGGACTCGGGTATCGAAATTATTTTTCAACCCAAATTCGGAAAAATTTATTTGATCCAAGTTGGGTCTGGGTCCAAACCCGACCCATTTGACACCCCTAGTTGGATCTAACCACAAAAAAATTTAAAAAAAATCATCAAAGTAAAACTTCCTTCAGCTAAGTACATATCAAAGCAGCCGTTGCTAATTGCCTTGACATACATACTACATTCGCAAGCAATTTCGCATTCGTCACTATTAGAGCTATCAAAACGGGTGACTCAATCAGATTTGGATGGATTATAATTAGATAATGAGTATAATTGAGTTAATATATTTAATAAATGGATATGGGTATACTCAATTACTCATTTATGAGTCATTTAAAATTTTGCTTATTTTTTTATGTTTTCATATGTTGTTTAACAAGAAATAAAGGTATTTTATTGTTATTAGATTAGTAAAAAAATTTAAATTTATTTGCTTAACACTCACTAAATATTGAGTTTAAATATATAATTATTTTTAAATTAATATAAATGGGTGAGTCGAGTCAATCCGTAATCCACTCTAATTAAATGGATTCAATTGAATACCCATTTAGACTCATTCAAAATTGGATATATTTATTTGTTAGTTTTTTTTTTTGAAAATTTCCTCTTAAAACAATTTTCAAATATTTTTTTATGATCGTACACATTACATCTCAAAAAGCGTTTCAGTATCTTTTTTCTTGTCACAAAAACGCTCAAAAATTGCAATTTCAAGTGGGCTCTAAATATTCATATAAATTTCAGTCTATTTTGTATAACTTATATGGGTTGATGAAATGCACAGCACGCCACTGGAATATTTGCCCACAAGCAAACTCGTTCAGTGTTTACCACTCCAATCCTTTGTCCTGGATCCGTGATTGCGTGAATAGAAAAGCAGCAACACAATAAGCAAAGACCAAATTTAGTTTTTAATTTTTTTTGGTAGATAATAACGTCATTAAACGGAGATGGCCGCCGTTGCAACCTCCGCTTACGGCAGTTGTATTCCCGCCAATTTCCTCCATTCCCCGCCAAAAATAGCCAACCAGATTTCGTCCCCGCCGCCATTGTACATCTCCACAAACCCATCCCACGTAAACCCAAGCCATCTCCAGCACCTCTACGCTATCTGCAACCACTCCTGCCACCGCTTCCCTAACCTCGACTCGTACGGCCGCGTAGAGCTTATAGACGTCGGCAAACTCCGAACTGCTCTGTCCAATAGCTCCGTTGTCCTCTCAGTCTTCACGAAACCCGAATTAGCTAATGATTTATCGTCCACTGCTGAAGTCGGGACAAGATCGATGGGCATTGGTGGGAATTGGATTCAGCGAGTGATGCCGGTGACTCCAGATAACGGGAAGCTTGTGGGGTTTGGACGCGCTGTTTCTGATTTAGGGCTAACTGCTTCCATCTATGATGTCATGGTCGGAACACTTTTCCTTCTGAAAAAGTTAAATTTTTAGTAATTTTTTTTTTGTATCCGCCTCCGACCCCCGCCCCCACACTAATGTAGTTGTTTTTCAGTGCATTTCAGGTGATCCCTTCTCTCCAGGGTAGGGGAATTGGGCGGAGGATAGTACAAAGAATTATAAGGTTGTAATGGGACTAGATATTTTTAAGATTCTAGGGTTCTAGGCATTGCTTGGAATTTGGGAATCATTAAGGAAAATCTTTTGCTTATATTGTTTTGATGGAGACGAAAGTTCAATTAACAAGTATACGCAAGGAACTGTTCAGCTTTTACCGATTGGTAATATTGAGTTAATCAGCCAAGTGTACTCACGGATTAGTTTAATTTTCGACCGTTATTCATTTTTGGCATGTTGTAATTGTGGTGTAGCATCGAGGAACCATTCTACCTAGTATTACCTGCAGGTTTTTCTCTATTCATTTACCATTTGCGGGGGGAATGTTTCGGGTTGCTGACTGCAGAGCTAAGCATAATGGGAAAAACATTTGCTACATCATGTGCTAGTTGTTCAAAACCTTTGGTAGTCAAGCTCTGAAAGATGTCTAAGCACTCCAATTTTTCTTGCAGAATGCTTACTGGCAAAGGGGTGTACGATATATCCGCCCTTTGCTCTGACAAAGAGGGGTAAAGTTTTAAGTTTCAGTAATGATTGATTGCTTTATTGTTTACTCTTATGCCTTTCTATAAATTAAGTAGCAACTGTTGTTTTGCAACCACCAATCCGATTCATCAATGTCTCATAGACTTCTCAAAGCTTTTATCAATGTAGGTAATGATCTTATTTCCTGCAATTTTTCCGAAAAGGATGTCTTTTGAAGCTAACACGGCCCTTGTATTCATCCACAGGCTATTCTTTAAAGCATGTGGATTTGGAGAAGATATTCTTGGTTCCACTACAATGATGTATACTGGGACATCTAGCTGTCCTGATGCACATCAGATTGCTATATATGCTGGCAGAAAGCTAATTTTAAGCCCCCCATCAAGACAACAGTAGAGTTTGTAATCTCTCTTTCCATGACCGTGCAGATGCAGAATGCTCTGTTCTTCAGATAATTGGATTGCAATCTACGTAGAACTTCTATTGACTGGCCTCAAAGTTGAAGGGTTCCATAGGCACTCTATTCCATTTACTGATTTACCGCACAGCACTTTTCAGGCAGTAAGTTAATGGAGTAGGACTTTGTGCTCCGTGTGAGCACTGGGTTAAAGTGTTTCCCTTCTTTAGACCAGCTGAAAGGGATGTGTTGCATAGCCAAACAATTTCATATACTATTCTAATAGGCTTTTAAGTTGTTCAGTTAACATGCTTTTTTTTTGTTGGATAAATTGCCGCATGAGTGGGCCATCCATCTATTTTTCTGCCACTTTATGCTGTACAAACTTTCGACTTTTGTTCTGATTCCTCTCCTCTTGGTATGGATTTACGAGTCATTTGCTCGACAAAAAGGTGACGGAGATTTAGAAAGTCGTGATGGATAGGGAATTCTCTTGGCCTGTGGCTGTGGGTAACATTAGTCTGGAACGGTACAAAGTTGTTAACTTTCTCTTTTCCTTATCAACTTGACAAGGGAAGTACTTTTCAGAAAACAACTTCTCTTGCCGTTCTGTCTTCGTTTCACGATTGAATCTTGGCTGTGATGGGAAAACTATGGGTTGAGGTCTGCCTGATTTCTGCTAGGGGGCTCCGGCTAACATCTGCACTGTGGAAGCTCCAGTGGTTTGCCGTTGGTTGGATTGATACTAACAACAAATACTGCACCAGGATAGATGCTTCGGGAAATGCTAATCGGGTTTGGAAAACCAAATTCTCAACAGTGGTTGATCCTTCTGAACCTAACTTCCAAGATATGGCCCTCCATGTCGAGGTCTATAGTAGAGAACCCATCTTTCTTAGAGAAAGGCTCTTGGGAATGACAACGGTGATTCTTAAGGAATTTCTGGAGAAGTACTTTAAGAATTCTGAGGTTTCCAATCCGGTGGAAGAAGTAGGAAGTTTTCAGCTTAGAAAGAAGAATACAAACAAACCTCGACGATTTGTCGATATCTCAATCCGAATATCAGAAGAAAGGGAAGAGTCTAGCTCATACCAAGGTACAAATACGGACTCCCTCATCATCATGATTTTCTTTTTTCTCATAAGAACCAACCTCATCAGTCTCTTTGTTCGGATTCCTGCATATTGCAATTTTCCTTCTTGCGCATGTGCTATGTCTATTATTGAACAGCAATAATGCTTTCCACACAATTTAAGGGTTTCGACGGTAGGATTCTTAGAATCAACAAGTTTCAAGGTATGTCCTCTTTCAGATTTGTGAAATTTTGGTTTCTCAGGTGATGAGGAAGGATTTAAGCTCATGGATAACAGCATGGGAATTAACTTGGATATTGGGCACGGACCTCTGCATTCACAATTTCCTGCACCCTCACCTCTGCGCCAGGAAGTCAGCCGCAGACAAGCAGCCAGTATGCCCATCCACTTCCATTTCCTCGGAATTATTCCAATATACCAACTGGTCCAAGCTATGCACCAGCCGGTGGAACGAGCTATCAACCGCCAAGAGCTCCATCCCCACCACCTCCACCCTCAAATGTCGGCTATATACCTACCTTTCTACCGAGGACAGATGATTTGCAGCCTAGTTACGTAAACGTGCCATCATCTGGACCAGCACCCGGACGCAGTAGGGGACCTGGTGTTGGGTTGGGACTAGGTGCTGGAGCCTGTGATTTTTGGGGATGATTTCATGTCAGGTTTTGATTTTCCACGCAGTTTACAAGATGCTAGCCTGACAATATCAACTGATCCTCCTTTCTGAAAAGTGTAGAACATAATCTGCTGTTGTATGGCGAGGGACATTATTATTGTTTTATATCATTTCAGTGTTCAACAATTACTGCACCCGCACCCCGTAACAAACATGGGATATTTGCAGTCACTACATGTTGGCTATGCATGGCAATCAACATATGCTACTTTGAAATAAAAAAATGCTACTTATTGGAGGATATTATGAAGAGATACAAAACGGACAAGAAGAAATATTCAAGCGTTTTCACTTCCCTAAATTTAGAATGACATTCTAACGGCCATGAATTGTATTTCCATATTCCTGTAAATGATGTTTATCCATCTTTTTACTTTGACAATCAATGGGGAGAAATTCTTTCTGGAGTTTAATTATCTCTCCACATTTATTTTGAGGGTTCAATCCTCTCCACATCTGTCAATTGGTTTAAGAAGATCCAGGGTTAAGTCACTACTTGCAAACGCTGCTCCTGCGAAGCACCGAAAGTTCTCTGTAGAAATTTCTCAACAACCAATACAAACTCTTCAGCCGTTTCTTCAGGAGGCAAGTGGCCGCAATTCTTGATCACCTCAAGACGAGATCCTGGAATGAATTGTGAAAGCCTTCTAGAGTTCCAGGGGGGAGCAAGTCGATCACTATCACCAGTGACAATTAGGACTGTAATTTACATTGGCAATGTCAGCCAGCATATCAAGGTTTTCGGTTATACTGGATGATAAATTTGACTTCTTTTTTTTTTTTTTGTGCAGACATTTAATGTCCTAGAAGAGATGAATGCTACACCAACAGGACCCAAAACATGGAGTCAACAAACCTTTGGGACAAAATATATATAGGCTCAAGATGAAAATGTATGAGCATTCGGAGGGCTAATGATGATTAAGACTCTAACTAACATAAGCACAAAAAAATGGATAATCAGATTTAAGTATTTAGTCAATCCATTGGCATTAAATCCAACATTTAGGATCCACCAAACATTTTCCTGATTATATTTTCTGTTAAGTCTTCTATGTTGATCAATGGTAGGAAAGGATTTTATCTGTCATGGGATTATTTTGATTGGCCACAATAATATTTGGGTAAATTTTGTAACCTGGACATGAGATGTCGCTCAATCTTTTGGAAAGCTGTGGCTTTGATTGAGAAGAAGAATCTGCAAGCATTGCTGCTGTAAATTCCGCGAGGGCCTTGTCCCAGCCTTTCACCTTCTGTGACTGCAATGGTAAAGTGGGTAGTTACAAAAATATACATAAATGGAGAAATTCTGTATGATTTGAGTTTTTTCTGATTGGAAAGCAACTTAGAATAATGCATCCAGAATATGGGGAATCTGGAAAAGAAAGGTTTTTAAGAATCACCTTTGTATAACCTTGTAAGACATGATCAGTAAGTTGATTTGAATCATACCACGCATGTCGAAAAAGAGCCTTGCCAAATCTGGCAACTATCATTCTTACCTAGAAGCACGAGCGAGATAGCCGCATGCAACACAGAAATAAACGTCAGATCTGTGCATTAAAACAAACAAGACGCAGACTAACAAAAATTTCCCTCATCTAATGAAATTCCTCGGTCATCCCAAAAATTGTAAATAAAGGCTATACTGTATAGTAAAATACTCCATGCATTGAGTTAAGAAGCTGCATTTGGTGTCTCAGATGGTCGTTATCTTTCTCCATCAATCAATAGTGAGTGTTTCAAAATCCTCTATGAAATAAACTTATCAACATAATCTGTAAAATTCTCAAACCAAAAGTTGAAAGATAAAGGATATTATAATTTAGTTACCAAAGGGCCTTAAGTATTGGAAACCGTGAAAATAAATTTAAGCCAAGAGAATAATGAAAATGTGTCCTGAAAAGAAATTAATACCAGCATTACACCAATGGCAGAGCGGAGGAGTGCAGACAAAGCCTTCTTGTACACATAATTTATCATAACTCCCATCCGTTTCAATATATTCATAATTGCCTGAGCAATATGTTTAGTTAACTTTGACAACATGCTGAGAATCCTGAGAATTGGATTCCGGTGACCATCTGAATTTGAGTGCTCCTCTTGTTTCTTGTTGTTTTTACCTCTCCGATTATCTTTGGAAAAATCCTGTTTCAAAAGAGGTGCTAAAATTGGTGGAGCAACAAGGACCATTGCAGCAACTCGCTCAGGTGCCTCAAAATATGTATCAACCGCTACAAGGGAACCAGCTGAGTGCCTGGCATCCGTTAGCTCTTAGTAGGCATAAACAGAGATTTTCGCCATCAGAAAAGGGGCGATTGACAGAATGAGGGGGAAAGTACCAAAATATTGATCATAGGTGTGAAAAATGAAAATATTCTTCTTTGAAAAAAATTAAATTTAACTCTCAATTGACAGTATGCCTTCCGAAGCAGAATACATCTAGTTTAGAGCATTGGCATTGACTATTTTTCTCCTTGTTACGATTCAGGTCAACATTTGAGGAGTTTGTGCTAATTTCCAGTGGTTTACTCCATAGAATGTGCGAGAGCGGAAACAGTATAGAAACCCTTACCAGTAAAACTTAATGATGAAATATTCAGAAACCAGAAAATGAGCACAATATGAGAAATAATCAAAAGAACAGAAGGTTAAATATATCACTTTACCCCACCAGAATTACTTTTTCAGCTGCTAAGACATCAATAAAGTACCGGGATGCCAGTGCAGAGAACATAATCGAGTATGGATTTAGAGGTCTGGCATCTCTACTGCCAGTAGGTGAATGATTGGCTGGATCGACCCATGATGTCAACCCAAAGGCCGGTCTATCAAAGGCAAGAACTTTTGAACCAGTGACCTGCGCCAAAGGCTTCATGACTCGATGCCATGAGAATGTAGAAGCCATAAAACCATGCAACAGAATCATGGGAAAACCTAAACTTTTGGTGGTATCAGAATCTTGAGGAGTAGTAACTTCTTTTGACAAGTTTGGAGCCAATGATTCAGCATCATATATTTTGTAGTGTATCTGTGCCCCTTTAAACTTACAAAAGCAACTCTCAGGATCAGCCAAAAGTTTTGGATCTTGTAATTCATCCTGATCTATGCCTGTTATTCTCTGCTTTTTCTGCTGGGGTGTGACTCCTCCCAGGAGTTGCTCTGTGCAGAATGGTCACTAATTAGCACGAAGCATGTCAAGATATAGATAGCATTAGGAAGAGAAAGAGGATGACAATAGTTACTTTTCTCTCTGTTACAGCTATAGCTATTCTGTTCCCCGAGAGAATGGGAAAACATATATAGGAGTAAATCTTGTTGAATTTTCCCTTAGAACACTGATAAACAATGATAAATATTCCTTCCTTTTGATTAAAAAAAAATATTGCTTCTACAATAGCATATTCAAAGACAGCTCATGAAACCATTTCCTTTACAAGGATTTTCTTGAATAGGGAAATTTGAGTAATCTTTAGAGATCTAGAAATGAATTATGAAAGGGGGTAGCAACGACATGGGATTGTCGTTGCTTCAAAAAAATAATCAATTAAGAGAACTGAATTTACTAACTTTATGCCTACATAGATGAAGTGGTGCTGACACGGATGAACTGATCTCATAGAATGGCCATTTTGGGTTTTGACGGTAAACCTAAATTGTATCATCATAAGAAACCACTGCACTGATAGGTAGTAGTAACAGCTGCAGTAAACAAGAAAAAGGGATACTTTAGCAGCTTCTTTTCTCTCTCGCTCTAGCAAATAGGAAGCATTGTAACATGATATACTGGTTTCTAACAATTTTACCTAGCTCTTCTCTAACTTTAGGAATTACACCAACCTCCCTTGACATACTGAGTTATCGAAAGTGAAAATGATCTTCACTTTCTCGCCATTTCACATAAAAAGAACTTTTATTCTTAAAAGATAAAAAAAGAAAAAATATTGAAAAAAATTATTGGAACATTTTTTATAACATCTCAAAACAATTGCCAACAATTGGAAAACCTTATTTTAGTGAATAATGGACCGTAAGAAAATCAATGAACAAGTGCGGAGTAGGTTAATTAAGAACAATATTGATATTTGAATACAATTTGCTCTGATGGGATAATGGACCGTAAGGCTGGTTTGATTTACCAGAATATTCTGTAGGGGAAGAAGAAGAAGAAGCAGCGGCTCTAGGGACAAATTTGGAGGAGGCATCATGTTTCAGAGCCATTTGAGATTTCCCACAAGTTTTCAGTGCTGTTGAGAAGGCAGCTGCAGCTCCCAAACAACACTAACTGGTGACGACTTCACTGATATACTCCTTATATACGCATATCTAGGTGTGTGGGCACACCAACAGCGACGGAGCCAGTTTTTTTTCCATAGGGTTTTCGATACACTCCATATTTCCATTTCCACGGTTTCGGATACACTCCACATTTCCTAGGATTTCCGATGACGCTCCAAAGGAGTGTGGGCACACCAACAGTGACGTAGCCATGCAAGCCACACCAACAGCGACGTCGGAGCCGCAATTTTTCACCGTAGGATTTCTATACACTCCACGACACTGACGGAGCCTAGTGACGTAGCCATCAACTCCACGCATCCTCCTAGGATTTCTCATACACTCCACGCATCCTAGGATTTCTCATGCACTCCACGCATCCTAGCATCTTTGGGGGGTGATTTTATTTCAGGTTCGTTCCACGCAGTTTACACGACGCTAGCCTGACAATATCATCAACTGATCCTCCTTTCTGAATGAGTGTGGAACATAATCTGGTGTTGTATGGCGAGCGACATTATTATTGTTTCAAATCATTTCAGTGTTCAACATTCCTGTAACATGGGACTTGAAAAGGAGACGAGCAGAATCGTCTCCACCGACGCAGCGATGGAGATTTGGTGGCGTTGAATTATTGGGCGTTGAGGGTTGTAGGCGGGATAGAGGAGGACATACAAGCCAACTTTGTCTTTGGATAAAAGGGAAGTAGGTGTACAATGTCGTGGGCGTCACGTTTAACTGGAAGCTCAGCCCAAACAAGAAGTCCATCTCCAGGAGGTTCATCTCCATTGCGCTAATTCCTCCCACTTTTGCATAGAAATCATATTGTTGTATAGAGCTGTTAATCGAGCCGAGTCGAGCCGAGTATTTGGCTGCCGAACTCGACTCGAGTTTAATTTGAGCCGAGCTCGACTCGAGCTCGTTAGGAAAACGAGCTTTAAAATGTGTTCGAATTCGACTCGTTAAATATACATGTGGCTCGAGCTCGAGCTCTACTCGTTTATCACAAACGAGTCGAGCTTCACGAGTTCGAGCTCGAGCTCGTGCAAATTAACCTTAATAAAAACCTATAATTTTTAATTTTTATAATTTTGATTTATAAAATGACAAATATGCCCTTCATTAACGAGCTACTCGAGTATCAAACGAGCCGAGCTTACTCGGC